TCCCACCTAAAATTTGCTCGTCCCAACCTCTCCCCAATACTCCCCACCCTCCCCTCCCCACGTTGTAAATCTTAGCATGAAGCCTGAACTCCTTACCCCACGTGTGTGACGTCATTTAGCAGACCCACAACGGATGTGGATATGTTTGTTTTTTTCAGCCGAACGCTGCACACTTAATCATGTAATTCTTTGTACTGATTTGCGTGTTAAAACGTTAACAGGAAAACTCGAAAAACTAAACGCCCCAGCTTTCCGAAACAAATCTTAGTCTGTGACGTAGCGAGTAAAAATGGTGGGATCGTCAAGCTCAACCAATATCGCTAATATTTTTCTCTTTCTATTTTTTCTCCTGCCGGGAGTGGTAATCCCAGCATTCCTTCATGCTTAAACTTCCCGTGAACAGTTTCATTGATCAGCGCGTTCTGCGCAGAGAATCGTTTATTGACAAAATAGATGAAGGAAAGTAAACAAAACCAGCCTTGTTGATGGGACTGCTGGAACTACTTTTTATGGCGCATGTAGGGCACTTTGTGTCGTCCGCGTACATGGGTGAATCACCGCTTATTAAGTAAACTTGACAGTCGATGTTCTAGCAAACGACCTCCTCCGCCTCACCACTGAACAGAAATCAAAATAAAACAAGGAGTAGACGTAAAATGTAGTTTTCCGAGACCACGGCAAATATTATATAATAAGATTAGGTCTGTGGCCAGTCCGATTTCCGTGTAACAATTACTTAACCAAACCAGCAGAATTCCTATTCTGATTTATTTTTTTTTTAAATCAAAATTTTTCGGACGTTTCAAGTTGAGCTCGAACGCGAAATATCTGGTTAACAATCAAATCCCTACTAAAATTAAATTTACTTTTCTATGTACAAAATCCGATTTAAAATTGGATGATGGTTTAAACCTGGGAACCGAATAAAAACAACCGTATTAAAGTCACAGGATCAAACCCAACTGCAGCGAGATGACGCCAAACAGGGATTCATTTTCAACAAATCAAACCCGAATAACTCATTTTGATAATTGTTTCTATTTTCTTCACAATTTTTCCAATAAGAAAAATGTTACATTAAAATAATAATCGTTTTATCGAATTATCTACAAAAGTAGGCCTATATCGCCACGATTATTACATCTTTAATCCATGTAATTTCGCGCGCTAGAATGTAATTAACATTGGGCAAACGATCGAATGAGTTTGATGTTTAGCCAAACTCTTTTAATTAAATGCTCACCTGCGCTCTTGGGGCGACCGTTACATCATGTAAACACGGGGAGTGGGGAGGTTTGGGGGGGGGGGTGAGGGAGAAGCAAGACTTGGTAGGATTGTAAAAAAAAAATCTAATCAAAGACGCCCAAGTGCTACCATAGTTTACAGCCCGTGTGGCCAGCGGCAGTCGATTATTGAAGCCAATTTCAAGCCACGTGTTGGCCCGTAGATGGGAACGTTTCATTTCGCTGTACTTTCATACGCAGGTCAGGTCACATGTGGGGGATGATGAGGCGACCGCCTCAGGGGCCAAATACAAAAATAGAAACTTAACGGATAATTTAGTTATAGGATAGTTCTATTGAATACAAGAGTGATAGAAAAATACATAACAATGTTTATTTTATTTGATTGTTTAACATAACCAATACAATATTTTGCTTTTGTCAGTTTTCACTGAAATCCCCAATCACCTAACGTAGCCCATATTATTCACATGCATTTGTAACTAGAAACGCATCCTACATACATTTATTATTCCTTTATGGCCCCCAGGACGGTTTTGGACAGCTCTCTTTATATTCGCCCATGTAAGCCCGGCAGCCCTTGTCTTTTCTTCTACAGTCCTTCTCCATGATATCCTTGGCCGGCCTACTTTCCTCTACCCCTGGGGATTCCAGTCTAACGCTTTACTCGCGATACTATCCTCTCCCTTTCTCCTATACACACACCTTTAGTAATGTATTTACTCCAACCTAAATTTTAGCACCTATAACACATAAACAACATGCACATACTTGTGTCTGTCTCGTAAATTACCACAAGCACCACCACACCACCTATAGCACACACACACGCGTGGACACACACACAGACACGCAAACAACAAACACACACCTCTTACAAAAAAACGTAACTTATCTCGACCAAATTCTGGGTAGGATTTAGCCCCTTAATAGAACTAATTCCAACCTTCCTACATACAATTACCTAACACACACACACATACACACGGGGACGCATCTTACCGAACATACATATTTACATATGACATCTAGACTTGATGTTTACAAAACAACCTACGAAAAGCTATTTTGGTTGTTTTACCCAAACAAAAACAAATAATGGAGTTAATCCAATTTCGCTGTCTAAAAATACCGAGCGCCGCAGGTGTCATTCTCCATAATTCTCGTCTAATAGTAAAAATGTGCAGCGAGTTAGTAGGCTTGATACGATTAACAGCGGACACTACACAAACGTCATGTAGGGAGAATTAGTTTAGTTTGCCCACGGGTTGTTGGATAATAAAAGAACTTTACCAAATATTTAGATTTTTACGAACAAAATACAAACGTTATTTGTAAAATTGAAGCTTTAAACAAAACTGTTCTGGTTCGTAGCTGAAATTTTAAAATTTAAAAGTTCATAAAACGAATTTTACTTTTTTTTTAAATTGTCGGCGTAATAATATAATTTTATTCGAATTTTTATTAGTTAAAATTTATGATTTAACAAACAAATCCTCTAGTTTGTAAATTCTAATTGAAGAGATTTGACTACGAAATGTTATTCTTTTGTCGATTGTTCCAGATATTCTTGGCTTGACTGTTCACATTTTGTTATGTGTGCTGGAATAGAAAATTCGCGCATATTCATCCCTGTTTTTAAAACTCCAGAAAAGCTTCGGTGTTTAGAGAAAAAAACACACATCAGAGTCAAACAAAGTTATGTGGATATGATATAAATCCATGTTTTTAAACTACAGAAAAACTAAGGGCTGTAGAGAAATAAAAAAAACATCTTACTGATTGATTAATGAAAGGAAATGTAATTAACCGTTTCTTAATGAATTCTTTGAACAGAAATTCCAACTTTTATTTTAGCGCTACACATCTTACACACAAAACGAAACAAAAACAACCCTCAGAGTGTGGAAGGTCAGACATGTTTTTAAATATTTTAAAAAAAAATCACTCTTCTTTGGATGAAAAGAGGGATTCTTTTAATGTTGTGTTTTTTCCTAAAGAATAATCCCTTTCAACACGTTTTGTAACAGGTACTAAAGCAAGAAATTAATCGAGCGTGCCTAAAAGTGAAACATCGCTCACCCCCCCCCCCCCCACACACACATCTGCAACACGTTAACACACCCTGCCAACATAGTTCACATTGTCCCCCCATGTCTAGTGAAGGTCGTGGTAATGTGTGCAACCAGAACTGGGGAAGGGGGGGGGGGGGGGTTGGCAAAGTACCAAAAAAAATCTTGTTTGAACAGACAAGTGATCATACATTCAGACACATATTACATCTTTTGACTAAATACCATATCACCAACCGTAGAAAAAAAACCCACTAGATCATCTCATTCAAATAATACTATTTCTTTGACAGGATATCCGTTGTAAAAACTTTCAAATTATTCACTTCACCTCAATTTTTGTCTTTGTCATTGTTTTTCACACTCTCAAAACTAATTTTTTCTTGACCCCTGTTGCTCCTTGCCTGAACAAACCTCTGTCAAGATCCTCAAAGCGAGACTTCACAGTTACTGTATTATCGGCCGCGTCTATACAGGTTTGACTTCTCCTATTTCTGTCACCGTTTGTCTATCCTAGTTTCTGGTACCGCCTGGTTTCTAGTTCTGGTTCTGTCCCCTGGTCTATAGTCCTGGTTTCCACCCCTAGTTTCTGTTCCTGGTTTTACACCCCTATTTTGCTCCCATTTTCCTCCCTTAGTTTCTAGTCCGAGATGTATCCCGATTTCCAGATTTCTAAGTTTGGTTGTGTCCCCTGGTATTTATCTTTATTACATTGCTTCCCCTACCTAGTTGCCTCCCCTGAACTATGCGTTAGATTTTTGCCCTAGTTCCAGACTCCTTGTTCACCAACAATGTCAGAGGAAACGGAAAACGCGTCACGTTTTGACGGTTGACATTTGTTAAGGTGATGAAACCTCAGGTGCAAAATCTCGTTCCGTTTACACGACATTGGTCGCATTAGCTCGGGGTTATCGCCGCTTGCTGTGGTCGGTGCTCTTTTATGTCGAGCTGGTTTACCTGGGCAGAAGTCTGTCTTCAGGTGCCCGTCGCTAACTGCCTACAGGTGGCTGTGTCTGTTTACATCAACGCCTATTACAAGTGCTTTTTTTTTTACTCTGGCATTTAGGTGCTGCATCGTTTTCTTAGACGTGCAAAAATACGTCAACATTTGCACGTTTAAAATTAAAAAAAAATATTTCTAAGGAGAGAACCGCAATATGGCATACACAGACTGATGTTATCTTAAATGTTTTACATGTCTAGAGGTAGTTTTGTAAGCCTAGGGGGGGGGGGCATCTTTTGAGGCTTTGTAGGATACATATCAACACTAACATAACAGTGTTGCTTTAAAAAGACTGAACAGTTTCTAAATCATTCAGATATACACCAGCATAAGCTTTATATATATATATATATATATATATATATATATATATATATATATATATATATATATATATATATACCAGTGTCCTTCCTGTTATTGTAAACGTTCCACCTTGTAGAAGGTTAAGGTGGTGACATTTACCTTGCAGGAGTAACAGAGCATTACATGAAAAACACCTTTTGCTGATGACTGGTATTTTGGTGAGAAAAATAAACTATACCCCACCGACACTTAGCTGACACAGTAGCTTTAAATCGTTTATTTATTTCTTGAGGTGGGGATGGTATAAATTGTGTTTGTTTGCCAGATTTTTAAGAATAAAAAGCCTAATTCAATTTTCTTTCATTTTACTTTCAGAGTTTTACAAGTTCATGTTGAAGGAATGATGTACTCCAACCGCCTGTCAGATTTCTATCCTCTTCATCGTCATCAGCGTCATTCCTCATCACCACGTCATCACATTATTACGTCATCCAAGTAGCAATTGGATCCCGAGTCTAGAGTGACGTAGATTTATATTTTTTTTTGTTTGTTTGTTTAGAAACAAATTATCGTAGATCACGTGTTCCTCAACAGCCAATCACAGACGATTCATCGGCCTGTTAGGGACTACAAACTGTGCAATATTTATCTACATCTAATGTGGGGGGAGCTACATGAATGGAGACATTCAGCGACTTGATATAGTGACCCGGAAGCGACCTTGTCTGTGTGTCTTTTAGAACAATTTGAGCAACATATCAAATTATAAAATCAATGGACTTCTACATCAAACAGAAACTGCTGGTACTTTCAATATACTTGAAAGTTTAATTCTAGAGAAGTTCAGATTCAGTAAAATCACCTAAACGTTGGGACTTTTTTCTCCAATAGAAGAATCAAGGCAGGTAACTACGTCAAAGGGATTGATACAACGGTAATTTGCTTCGTGAGGCGTCTTCGGGACTCACCGATTGTGATTTTTAAACCTTCAAGATACTTGACATATGTCAATGACATCTGACATGGTATCTGTCAATGACACATGATAATAATACTGGCTGGCTGGCTAATACTGGCAATTTAAATATCTGCATAAATATTCATTGAAGATAAACGGTGATTTTTCGTTGGCTCTTAAAAGCAAATTTACTGCCATGGTCTCAGAACCATCTGCATACAGTACAACCTAATGGCTATACTTCAATCTACTTGGTTGAAATCTGCCCATCACCCAGCGACGGGATTTCCTGTAATCCTACAATCCTACAATCCTACTGACTTTTATCCAGTAGAGTGCTAATGAACTAAACGAACTTGTTTTAAAAAAGTGCCCAGCATGGTCGCCCAGTCGCTCGTGTGAAAGATGTCAAAGTGCGCATGACCGAATCTGTGTTCCGGAACTTTCAAATTGTAAACAACTCACTCAACGTAAAAACCGCCCTCGCCTGCTATCTCAAAACAAACACCTTTTGTCGTATTTTTTTCTCCACATTTAAAGGATGACTTTTTTTCTACACTGGAAGATAGTTGGATACTTCTCCATTATTAGTCGGTGAAAATTAGAAACTGTTTTAGTTTTTTTTAGTTTTCTTGTTTCCTAGAGCAAGTATTGTCTGCTTCGCTGTGTAGGTGATCACACTCATCACTTCAACATGATATTGTTTGTACATCGAGATTCACTATTTGATTGTTATGATTACAAATTTCTTCCGCCCCCTATGTGTGGCTTGTGTTTTGATTGTGTGTACGGTGGTGTTGTTGTATGTGTTTGTGTTCAACTGTTGGTGTGGTGTTTAGATTGTGTATGCAGGGTGGTGTTGTTGTATGTGTTGGTGTTCAACTGTTGGTGTGGTGTTTTGATTGTGTATGCAGGGTGGTGTTGTTGTATGTGTTGGTGTTCAACTGTTGGTGTGGTGTTTTGATTGTGTGTACGGTGGTGTTGTTGTATGTGTTGGTGTTCAACTGTTGGTGTGGTGTTTTGATTGTGTATGCAGGGTGGTGTTGTTGTATGTGTTGGTGTTTAACTGTTGTTGTGGTGTTTTGATTGTGTATGCAGGGTGGTGTCGTTGTAGGTGTTTGTGTTCAACTGTTGGTGTTGTGTTTTGATTCATTCTGTGGGTTGTGTTTGTTATTTGTTAGCTTTTATTTGGTACTTGGTTGTGATTGTTGATGATTGGGGTTTGATTGTGTATGTTGCTTTAAGTATACTTCTAGCTGTCTATCGTTGTGATAGAGAACAAAAAACAGGTTGATTGTTGGTCAGGTAGTTTTTCAATATTGCCATCTTCTGTGGCACACTGTGCCAGAAAGGTTCTTGGCTGTCTCCCTTATGTCTGACCACAGATTGACAGCTTCTAAACAATATGTCGGTGTGTTTTGTGTGTGGGTTTGAGAGGAAGTGTGGGAGTTTTGTGTGAGGTGTGTGGTTTGTGTGTGAGGTGTTGAGGTGGGGTTTGTATGGAGGTGTGGGGCTGAAGTTTGTGAGGTATGGAGCTGGGGTTTGTGTGGAGGTGTGAGGTTGGGATTTTTGTGTGAGTTGTGGGGTTTGTATGTAGGGTGTGAAGTTGGGGTTTGTATGTAGGGTGTGAGGGTGGGATTTTTTGAGTGAGGTGTGGGGTTTGTATGTAGGGTGTGAAGTTGGGGTTTGTATGTAGAGTGTGAAGTTTGTGCGAGGTATGGAGGTGGAAGAAAAAATGACTTGTTTTATCAGAGTCCAATAATGACCAACTTGTTGGAACTATATAGCCTACATGAGCAGCCAGAACAAGTGAATGAGAAATGAGCACATTCTCTGCGCATGTCTCCGAGATTGAACACACCTAGCGTTCAAACTAAAATTTTATCACACCGCCGACATGGTGTTCAGTCACAATTTTAACAATAACAAAATTTTAAAGAAATGACTAAAAACAAACATAAATGTAACACCTTCATGTAGGTAATTTAATTTTTTAAAATATAGATTTAAAAGATCCATATTTTAAAAATTATGAATGCAATTATTAAATTAAATAATTTAAAAATTACCTAAGTATTTACAAAACAAGATCAGCTTATCGTTGTAGGTAGGATAAGAAACAATGTTAGCAAAAATACTGTAAATTGTATTTGGTTTGTTTTTTTTAGCGTTTTTTTGCAAACACTGAAACAAACATGCGTGCATATCCTCTTGCTATCAGGAAATTACAAACATCGAATCTTTAAAAAAAAACCACACAGAACAACCGACTTCTTAGAAATGCTCTACATAGCTACAAAGATAGCCTAAAACAGATGGTTTACAGTTTTTTAAGTAAATTACACCCTGTGTTCTTTGCCATAATAACAGAGACGTGTTTTTTTAAATCCTAATCATTGTAATTTTACTACCCATTATAGTAATAGTTATATAGTACTCATTATCTCATCACAATAATAGCCACATGATATCACTAGGCACGCACCAGTAATTACCTCATAATAATAACAACTACACAGTAGTAAAAGTAAGCCATTTAAAAACTACATTACATTAAATAATAACAGGCACACAGCAAAAATAACCACGCAATAATTATAGCAACAAGACAATAACAGCCATATCAAATAAGAGAAAGAATAAAAATATCAATGTAGTATTGACACACACAACCTAACCACAATACGAGTAGGTGCAGACATATAAAAAATCCAAGTCAACTGTTGCACGGGGAATGTCATAAGGGCAACTTATTGTGTTAAAAGGGAATGTCATAAGTTCATCGTCCTCTAAGGGCAACTGTGTTCAAAGGGAATGCCATAAGTTCATTGTCATCTAGGGCAACTAACCGTCCTTACAGAATGTCATAAATTAAGTTGGCCTTCCTTCAGCGGGGAATGTCACAAATTCTTCGTTCTCTAAGGGCAACTAACTGTTAAAAGGGAATGTCATAAGTTCATTGTCATCTAGGGCAACTAACCGTCCTTACAGAATGTCATAAATTAAGTTGGCCATCGTTCTCCAGGACAGCCAACTATCGGCTAGTGTATCAGGGGCGAATACTCGTGATGATTTCCTCCCCTTACATGACGTCAAATACAGCACACAACGCTGAAGATTTACATTAATTTGATTAGTTCACCTCGCCACGTGACACAGTAGCTGTCAAACATGATAGCACGAACACACAGTTTTGTGCATTTAAAAAAAAATGTCTCGACATTTTGTTTAGCGTATTAATTTCTATTTTAAAACGAAGGCGATTAAAAATTGAAAACAAATTTGTCAAATACTGCTTCTAATTACACCTGTCGTAATAGCGCGCGCTAGTTAACGACCACACGTCATAGTATCCTCACATTCCTGTAACCGAGAAAGCGCAGCAGAAGTGAACTATGACCTCTCCCGCCCGTATTCATTTTTCCTCTCTTTGGAAGCTCACGATTCCAGTTTTTTTTTAAACTCACCCAGGTAAGAAAAAACGCACGGCTGTCTATTTTTTTTTCAAGGTGAGCGGAGCCGTCTGTGTGAAGGTATCCCACGCAGGTAGGTCAAGTTTATCCCGTCTGCAGCACAAGGGTCTGCATGTCGCAGCGCCAACTTGCCAAAGATTGTTTCCCCTGCGTGACGTCACGAGTTCGGCAGATACCTGCGCGCGGCGCTATTTTTAGTCATGCCGAACTACACACCCAGCCCAGTGAACGATCACAACACACAACATGCGGCTTCAAACACGATCTAATACTTTAACAAACAAAAAATTTTAAGTAAGCTAAAAATGTGTAGGCCTACATATATAAACAAAACTAAATTGTTGAATTTAAACATTTAAAAAAAAAATTAATACGACTTACGACCCAAGCTGGTAGCTTGATGTTTAATAAAAGTTTGTTTTTAGAAAACAACATCTAAGATAATTGGGGTCAATTAAATGGTCATCCTTAACTAATAATTAATTAAGGGAAAGTTAGTTTGTACAAATCATTAAGCTGTAGGTTTATTGTTTACAATATTGGGACATGTGTTTTTTTTTTTAATTTTAAATATAGCGAACTCTTCGTTTCGTTTCGCTTTTTATACACATCTATGCAGTCTTTTTTCTTCTTTAAAAAGCATCAACAAAAAAAAAAAAAGAGTATATTTTTAGCAAATATAATTTGGTTGGAGTAAAGCTAAATAAAAAGTGAAATTCGTGTTATCTGCATTATTGACCTAGAGCTAGAGAAAAACTGGGTGCTGGGATATGTGTTATTTATTTTTTATTTCTAGGGATATGTCATGGGAATCATAATGGGAGGGTAATAGTAGGAAAAGTGAGGGGAAGGTCCAGAGACGTAGCGATTGGGAGGGGGGGGGGGGGCAGGGGGGAGGACATCCCGGGCGCCGACATTAGGGGGCGCCAAAATGGGTTGTAAAAACATTAAAATGTCAATTTAGCTGCATTTTTGCAGTTTGAGGGGGGGGGGGGTGCAAATTGAAAGTTGGGGGAGTGGGGTGCAAATCAAAAAGTTGAGGGGGGGGGGTGCTAATCGAAAAGTTGAGGGTGCAAATCGACAAGTTGAGGTGGGGGGGAGGGGTGCAAATTGAAAATTTGCTCCCGACGGAGCCGCCAAATTGAAAGTTTGTCCCCGGGCGCCGGGAAGAGTCGCTACGCCTCTGGGAAGGTCATTAGAAGCTGGGGAGGGGGTGTATGGAAAATAGGGGGAGGGATATGAGAAATTTGATAGAAGGGTCATGGGGAATTTTAATAGGCGGTGTAGGAAAAGGGGGGAGGTTATGGGAAACATGATGGAATGGTTATGGGGAAATAAAGTAGAATTTAAGAGGGAATACGAATGTTGGGACGGAGTGGCCTAGCGGTAGAGAGCAGGACTGCTAGCCCGTAAGTCTCGAGTTCGAATCCGGATTCAAGTCAGTGGACCGTCCCGGAGTCCATCCAACTCTGATGGGTACCTGACTCACGTTAGGGAAAGCAAAGGCGGCTGGTCATAGTGCTGACCACACTATCTCTTCATATGCCGAGGTCACAGAAACAAGTGAACTCTACTCTAGACCGTCAGGTTTGAAAGGAAAACTTCACGAATATTGGGTTGTAAGAAGTTTAATTGTTAGTTTTAGGCAGGGGGTTGTTAGGGGTTTATGACACCCACAATTCAAAATTATGAATGCAGTAAAGTCACTATTTAAAAACTACATCAACAGTTGCGGTTCCACAGGGGACGCAACCCAATATATTATAACTTTTATTTTATCCCCCTTGACTGGTAACAATGATATATGTTACACACACACATACACACACACATACAGACACATACACACACATATATATATATATATATATATATATATATATATATATATATATATATATATATATATATATATATATATATGGAGGTAGTTTTACCACACCTTATGCCAAATTCCTGGCTACAGGGATATTTAAGGAACATTTTATTAAGAGTTGTGAGTGAGTTGTTAAAATTTCCACTCATAATTGACTGATATGCTAACACTGATACGCTAACACAGCTTTCTCGAAACAGCAAAAGGTTGTGTATTTTTAACACTGTCCACGGATGGAGAATCGGGATCCGAACCAGCTCCTAGATGCACCGATATGCTAAGCCTACGATAAAGCTGCCACACTATCGGTTGGGGGGGGGGGGGGGATAGGAATACCATATCTTGCGTCCATTGTTGTCGTATTTTTTTTTCATACAAAACTATTTTAAGCCAGTATTAATTATTTAATAAACTTAATAACGGTTCAAAGACTTTAAAAACTAAAATCCAGAAATTTTACCTTTCATTTAAACAATCTGCTTTTAGTTCAGTATAAAAAAAACAAAACAAACCCTGATATGTTTTGTAAATCAATAGATTAACTGAAACGATAAAACATGCTGTTCAAGGGATATAAATCATATAATCAATGATATTATATTTCGAGTTAACGCTCTTGAAAAAAAAATTGAAATCATGCTTGTTTTACAACAACCGGTATTTACGAGGGCGGCCGTTTTAAGTTGTGCGCTAAAGCATATTAGAAACCAAATATTATATTAAAGTTCATTTATTTTTTCAGTTTAAAAATAAAATTATGAAATATTTAGAGTACAAATTTCGTAGCCCTATAGGCGCCATTCTTCTTACAACTTCTAAAAAAATCCTACTTTAAAAAAAATTAATAAAAAAATATATAGATAGGTAGATAACTCATCTTTTAAATGCTACGTTTAACATATTTCAGATTATGATATGTCTAACCCTCAAACTAAAGAATTAATTTGAAATAGTTAATATTAATTAGAACCTAAATTATTTAATTAATTAAATAACTATGGACTTAGACGCGTTTCTGCTATATGCTACTGATGACTGTTTTTGAAAGCAAAAATTTAAACCGACTTGAAGTTTAATAAAACCATAGGCGAAGTTAAAATCCAATGTGGGAGTTTTTTATGCTATAATCAATGTAAATCAAGATGAGTGTGTTTTATACAATCTATAAGGAAAATAAAACAATTAAAATACGAATTTGAAGAAGTACGAAGTAATGGCATACATGCAGTGGCGTCGCTAGGTCGGGTGTCACACGGTGCGGCACTTCGTGGTGTCACCCCCCCCACCCCAAGAAACAAAGTATATATATATATATATATATATATATATATATATATATATATATATATATATATATATATATATATATATATATATACAAATTACTAAATTTATTAATGAGACAAGCAACTCGATGCCATAGTCAAATCTCAAGCCGTTATTAATTTGATGAAAACCAAAATCAAGATATGGATTTACATAAATGTAAGGACAACTCAAGGGAAGTAACAAGAACAATATTTTTATACTAACTTTCTGTGCACTAGTTATCTCTTATTAACATAAATACAAGCATTGACTGGTAGAATTTTTTATGGTGAAGGTATTGCAAATGCTGCTCCTTGATAATCTTTTCTAAAAGCTACTTTTAAAATGTCTTTAAAATTGAAATACCTTAAATAGTTATAGCAGCCGATAGACTATAACAATTTACTTTTTATTAAAAATCCAGTAGTCCATGCAAAAATGAATTATGAAATGTCAAGTTTTGCTTGTCTTCTTAATAGCGATTTTTTTTTAAATTACAAAACTTTCTTTATTTTGCTACACTGTGAAGAATATTTATCAACTGCTTGAAGATACCGAGTTTTTTTTTCCATATAATACGGCTGTACATTAGATACTTCACTAAATATTTCTTGTATAAAATATACAGAAATCGGAATAAGATTTAAAATGTTTTAAAATATTGAATTGTTGATTCATCCTCTTTACGGAGGTTCTCTACACCTGTCATTTCTTTATAAAAATCTGTAATATATCATTGAATTGTGGGAAAATACCAAATGCGACTATCACACTCAAGCCACATCATGTTCAATAGGTCCGTAGCTTAGCGAGGGGGGGGGGGCGTGGGGACATATGTCCCCGGGCGCCGACCTTAGGGGCGCCAAAATGGGTTGGAAAAATAAATTGAAAGGTTGAGGGGGTGCAAATCAAAAGTTTGAGGGGGGGGGTGCAAATGGAAATCTCGAGGGGGGGGGGTGCAAATCGAAAGTTTGAGGGGTTGAGGGGGGGGGGGTGCAAACGGAAATCTCGAGGGGGGTGCAAATCGAAAGTTTGAGGGGGGGGGGATGCAAATCGAAATCTTGAGGGGGGGTGCGAATCGAAAAGTTTGTCCCCGGGCGCCGGGAAGGGTCGCTACGCCTCTGCAATAGGTCGGTATCACCCTGGTGCGGTTACTGAGGGTGGCAATCCACCCTCATCAAAGGAATTTGCAATTTCGGTTTGGTGTAATCCCTCTCCCCCTAATATTTTGTTATCTTAAGTGGGAAAAAAATTGCTTTTTTTTTCTGCAAATTTTATAATTTTTCGTCGTGCTTACCCCTTAAATACTAAAAATAGTGTCACTTGGTGCGGACAGCACCGCTCGACCCCACCTTGTGACGGCACTTATCATTTGTAAATCTATCTTTAACTTCATACAAAGGAAAAGTGACAAGATTTTTAATGCAGAGAATTAAAGTAATTAATTACACATTGAAAGCGCGTCATAATATTATTTAAGATTAAAGCGAAACTTTAGAGAATTGCTATGTTGTCACGTGACTTCCGTCGTCCATTTTCTACTGACTTTTGTTTTGACCTAGACAGGAGCAAGACGATAACTAAATAAAACGATGGCAACCGGATTAGCAAGGCCGATTGCCAGATCGTTAAAGGTATTTTATCGTCTATACTTTAGACAATATTATCCTCTGGTGTTACGCTTCGACAATAGATATATGTTCATTTGCAGTAGTCTGGTCTTAAATTTATAAAACTAGACTGTCGAACACTGACACTCCAGCTGAGTCCACTTGTCCTCGGCATCGACACGTCTCTGTCATTCTCACACAATAAATAAATAAGAAGCCTAACCTTGTTTTAGATAACTAGATCTAGATTTATATCTGAAGATCTATGTTCGATGTTAAATTAAGTGGCCAACCCTGGCAACTTCCCCTCCCCCCTCCCTCTATCAGGCAGATGAGGCTCTGCTGCTCTTTTTTTTTTTTTTGCTTTGGACAGCAACCCATTCATTTATGATCTAGGAATAGAAAACAAAATCAAATGGGAGTGGAGTCTGTTAAAACTATGGAGTTTATTTATTGTATTGATTTACTTGTACAATTGTCATGCAATGGTTACCAAATTTGCAACCAATCAACTTAGTCTTAGGATGTTGACTTTTAACTTCTAAGGATCTGGTTAGCCAGTGTCAATGAGTGTTGAATTATAAAGAGTGTAACTGTTATATTAATTTGAAATCTCTTTATTCTAATCTTTTCAAGGGGCGAATGTATGGTACTGCAGCTTCTGCAAAACCATCATTTCAAGGAGATGACAAAGAGCCTAGGGTAAGGTTTTTAATATTAAAATATTCAAGTTGAAGCTTTTTTTTTTAAACTTTAGGCTATAGCATTAAAAAAAAAACTTACTGGAAAAAATTCTGGCTCTTATTTAAGAATAGACACAAATGTTTCAAATGTGTAAGATTAGTTTAGTTTCATTATTGTTTTTTTTTTCTTCTGTTTTCAGTGCTATGTGAAGAAATTAGACAATGGTATTGCTGTTGGTACCATTGAGTCAAGGTCTCCTGTATCTAGGATAGCTATTGTGGCCAATGCAGGATCTAGATATGAATCAAGTCAAAACTTAGGTGTTACACATGTGTTGCGCCACATTACCAAACTTGTAAGTGATCAAAGGTTTTTTAGTGTTAGCCATACAGTTAGGTTTAAGCCAAACTTTTTATACATGGCTTGTGTTTTTCATAGAGAACCCAGAATTTATCAAGCTTAGGCATCACAAGAAGCTCAACACAGCTTGGAAGTGACATTACGTGAGTTCTGATTCTTCCTCTATGGGCTTTTAAATTGTTTATGACAATCAGGGTGTGTTATTATGGTAGGTTAATTAAAGCTTATCTTTTCGTTTTGTAAATCAATAAAATTATATTCCCTTTCCTCAATGAGTTTTTTATAACCTTTTGTTTAGGTGTCAAGGTACAAGGGAATATGTATTTTACAAGAGTGCTGTCACAAGAAATGTTGTGTAAGTGACCTGTATTTTTCATGCAGTGCCTAAGCATGAATAGAGCTGTTAAAATATTTAAAACCCTGATCTTGGTTTTGAGAAAAAATAAAATTAACGGCTGCAGTTCAGCTATTTTCACCAATTTTGGTTTGTGAGATCAACTGTTTACTCTGTGTTAATTTTTCTTTTCCTCTAACAATGACTGGTGGGATTTTTCTTGTCTGCTGTGAAATGCATAGACTATTAATTCTCTTTATATTTATTTTATATTTTCTTTTCAATATGTTTTGTATTTCTAGTGGTAAAATGGTTGAACTTCTTGGTGAAATAACAACAAAACACCACATTACACCTTGGGAGTTTGAGGAACTTCAGAGCGATCCTAATGGCTTGAAGCTTGACCTTGCTTTACTGAAGACACAGCCAATCATTCGTAAGTTTTGTTTTCTTTCAATAATTCAATCTTCAGAAATACAAATATTTCTGGTTATCTTTATTTACCTTTGGCTGAACAAGTGTTCTCCTCCCTGGCACACAGATGTTTGTCCTCCAAATAATTAACTTTATATATTAAAGTAAAATGTTTTTCCATTGAACAACTTAGGCGCCACAGAGGCTCTTCATGCTGCTGCCTTTAGAACAACACTGGGCAGATCTCTTTATGCACCAGAGTTTGCTGTTGGAAAGTTTACCCCAGATCAGGTACCAAATTCTCTCTTGTTCAGATGATATACTGGGGGCATCATCCTCACCCTAGGGCTTTAAAAATAAGCAAAAATAAGTAATGTATTAAGCTATTGTCATTAGGAACAAAGAATGTAGTGTGTGTATTGCACAAGTGTTAATTAAAAGGGAGTGGTGTAAGAAGAATATTCCACAGTGTTATTTTGTTGCTCATAGCTATTTTCTGCTTTTTAAAAATTTCAATTGTACATGTAATTACATGTTATAACTTCTCCATCCTATTATAATTGTAGGTGACAAACTACGTAAAAACCTTTTTCACATCTGGGCGTCTGGCTTTAGTTGGGGTTGGTATTGATCAGCAAGAACTGGAGGCCCTGGGTCAAGAGCTAACACCATATAAGGCTGTCAGTGTACCTCAGGAGAAGGCAGCTTATCAAGGAGGTTTGTTATAACTTTTATCTTCTTGATACTTTGTTATGATCTAGTGCATTTCACATCTTAGTTATACTATTTAGTTAATTAGATCAGTGCCACAAAACCTTTTTTTTTTGTTAGTTATCATGGATGTGATCCTTATACATCATTGTTTTCTTTTTTTTTAATTTCCTTTTTAGGTGAGATTAGGGAGAACTCTGGTGGCGAACTATCCTATGTTCTCTTTTCTTATGGAGGACCAAGGTAATTTCAGTTCTTGTATTAAATTAAGGGTTGTGTGAATTTTATGATTGAATTAAAATTGTTTATAAGGTTCTTAACACAGATTTAGTAGGTCAGATGGAAGTGTTGCACAGTGAGAGTTCTAGAACACTCACATCAGTGGTATAGAGTAAGTTAAAGAGATGATTTTCCTGCATCCATTGGCCTATCATCTCTTCATGCATCTAAGTTCTTCATCTCAGCATTGTTCAGCACTAGCCCAGCTGCCTTAACTTTCCCTGACACGGGTCAGGTTCACGTCAGAGCTGGGCTACTTCATTGTTCCATCTGCCTGTTTGTAGAACATTCTAAACTATCATTTACTGAGCATGCATACGTTTTAGAGCAGATGATGATTACTTTCTTAATTAATGGAAGTTTGTATATTTTAATTTGATCTCCATTTCGAATATAAATATGTATATCTAACAAATCAGACTGCAATGTATAATTTTTTTATTCTGGTATTTTTGTAGCAAAATCAACTCATGTCCATATTGTTGAGCTTTCTCTTTGATCACTCCCTATGCATTAGTTATCATGTTAAACAAACATTTATAACATAACTATGTATTTTGTTTAAAACTCTGCCCAATTGTGGTTGTTGTTTAAAATTCATCTATTACATTTGCTTTGATTCTAGCCAAACAAGAAAGGAGCTACTGCCATCAGAAGTCTTGAAACATATACTGGGTAGCGGCCCCCATATCAAGTACAGTCTAGGAACTGCCACCTCAGCTCTTGGCAAGGCTGTGCAACAGGCTACTGATTCTCCTTTTGCTGTGAGTACATGATGATGCATAGCTTAAAATAAATAGTTTAACTCCTGTGAAAATATAAAGAAATTGTGGCTGCATTTGATAATATTCCATAATGTCTGAGATTTTCTGTTGATATGATGCAGGTAACAGGCTTCTCTACAAGCTACTCAGATGCTGGTCTCTTTGGCTTCTCAGCTGTTGCTCCAAACTCACACATTGATAAGGTATTGGTTAGCCTGTTCTTATAGAAATTAAACAGCAGTTTTCTTAAACTTGTTTTTGTAGCTTTTAGTTACTTAGCATTTAAATTTTAAAATTCTTCATATTTTTGTTAGTGATTCATAAAAATATACTATTACCTCCACTTAATAGAATAATTTGGTTATTACAGTTTATCAGGGTTATTTTGTTTTTAAAATTATATTTTAATCTATAAGAATTCTGGATCTGGAAATTCATAGAATTGTTTGGGAAAATTCTATGCCAGCTCCTCTCCGCATAAAAGTTTATACTAGATGCCATTATTTTTCTCATGGCTATCTGTTTATCAGATGAAATTCAGTAAAAACCTACAGAAATGTATTTTTGATAGCGTTGGGTTTTTTTTTTTACTTTGGAAAACTGCTTTTTAACATAAAAAAATTATGGTCATCATTCCTTGATCTTAGCTTAGTTGGCTCATCATTATGCCCAGCCACCTTTACACCACCTTTACTTTTCCAGGCAGGAAGCTCACTTGTGATGTGAAAATAATTCTTTTAGGATAATGGCCCAGTGCTTTTCACTCATTTGTATGACAAAAACAAAGAATTTAACTTTTAACTGCTTCCTAGACAAATGGGTGGTCATATTAAAATAGACTGCTGTACGTATAAGATGTTCTACTTGTAAGTGTTCACCTATACTTGTGTATATTTTGCAGGTTGTAAGAGCAGCAGCCAAGCAGTTTAAAACTGTACTTTCTGGTGGCATTTCTGAAGCTGATGTCAGTAGAGCCAAGTAAGTTGTTGTATATCTCTGTAGCCATTCACACTCTTATTTCTCTCATTTTTAAAGTGGATGTAGGGCTGGTTAGATTAGTGCAAGTTCATAAAGGATTTAAATGTTGTAGAATGATGATCTTATGATTGCTAGTGTCTTTAACTTTTTTCTGCACAATGGTGCTACTAGCGTTTAGCCATAATGACTCTCCAGCTGTAGACAATATTTTCTGGAAGCACAGGTTTAAATCATATATCGCTAGAACCCCTACTATTAAGTTTTTAACTTTTACAACTTTTTTGTTATAGTTCTCATCCATGACTTTGATACTCATCTATTAACCAAAAAAATAATTTTAATAGATTTCCCAACTGAGTTATCCATTTTATGCAAAGAAAAGTTGTTTATAATTTTGCTCATCAAAAAATAAATACACTTTCTTCCTAAAAATGGTTACTTAAAATCACAATTATTGTATTGTGCTGTGCATTCAGTTTACATATTTACATACCCACTGTGTGTTTTTTTTAGTAAGAATAAGAAAAGAAGGGAGTCATTTTGCAGAGTGAGGACATTAAAAAATTGAGAGAAGAAAGTGGAATTTTTGCTTTTTAGAAAAATGTGTATAGAATTATGAATACTAATTATTACAAGCATGGAAGCTTTACTTCTAAATGACCCAATGTTTAGTCCAGTGGTCAGATGTCTAGTGTTCTAACATTACCCATGCTATCTGCAGGAACCAGCTGAAGGCAGAGATGTGCATGCTGTTTGAGAACCCTGACAACTTGCTGTCCTGGCTGGGTGAGCAGTCCCTCAACTCTGACCAGATTATCACACCCCATGAAATCTACCAATTGATTGATAAGGTCTCAACAGCTGATGTCAACGATGTAAGCAGGCTTTTTTATTTCTTTCATTCCTCTAAGTTCAATGTAGTCACAGTTTTTATCTGATACATGTAAATTCAAGCGTGTTATCACCAAGGTCTAGTAGTCCCAACATTTTTTCTACTTCAGGTTGCCAAGAAGATAGCGGCCACCAAGCCTTCAATGAGTGTTACAGGAAACACAAACAATGTACCATACATAGACAATATTTTCTCTTAATCTCAAACTTAGATGTCAGTTACACCTAGCCTAATCAATTAGAATAAATTTTGTACTGTTGCTGGTTACTGAGGTCAGTTTTGATTGTTCCAACGTTTGATTCTGTCTGACTACAACACTGACAGGTCCTCTCACATTTTTATGAAGACCGTGATTTTAAACAAGAAATTGGTTTTTTGTGTTTTGTTGGTACTTGTGTATGAGCAAATTCTGGTGATGTGATACAAGGTGTATGTAACTTAATATATGTAAATGACATGTTGTAAAAGACCTTGTGTTTATCACTGACAACCTAAAGTAAATACATTGATGATAAAGTGGCCAGTTGTTTGCTTTTTTTCATTTTCTCCTATTATGTGTATTTTCATATCTAGAATTTTAATTTTAAACAAAATGCTAGAGGAAGGTTTTAATGTTTCCAAATCAACCTATTGATCAAACATTGGAATGGCTAAATCAAATGGTACAGAGCTTTTACGGTGCTAATGCCTCAGTGTGGTCATAACCTTCTACTGGAATATTGATAAGCACTCACTGTTAAGTTTTAACAATTATTCTGGGTTTGTTATTTTTTCCAAGTGTTCTCAAAATAACTTTCAGGTGTTTCTGAAACATACTAGCAGGGGACATGATTCTTGTGGCTATTGGTAGTGTAAACTTTAGTTACATTACCAGCTTTAATTTATTTGCTCGATTGAATCTTGCAGTCAATTTTACACTGATATATCCACTTCTACTACCAATATCTTTCATACTTTGTGGGTGGAATCATGCACATATAACATAAAACTTGCTCTTTATGTAACATTCACATAAACCTGCACAAAGCTATCAAGTGTTAACTCAAGGTAGATTACAGTAATATATTAAAGGTGTATTTAAAACTTAACCTTAGGAACAATTACAGTCCATGGTGCAAATGTTGTTCTACTGACTCAAACCTTCAGATTAGCATTTGTATACTGTACATTTAACCACACTGTCCCATATGCCTATGGTGGTAAGGAATTTGATGTGTAATTAGTCGCCATTGTAATAAGGCTATGTTTGTGGTGAAGAATGCAGGAATGGAACTGTGAAAAGCTCAAATTGGTTGTACCTTGGAATTGATTACGTTTTGAACCATCATTTACTGAATTTAAAATGGAGAGATGGCTAGATTAAATACAAATATTTTACAAGGCTATAAAGAAAATGTAAAAACAAATTGGCCAAATTTTGTTGAGAATGAACCTATGTAGAATTTATGGATGGTTTGCATTTTTATTGTTCATTACAAACTGTTGTACTGTCTGAAGCAGTGAACTTAACCAACAACACTGAACAGAGTTTCTTTGGGACATCGTTGTCTCCCCCCCTCCCCCCCCCCCCCGAAGAGTATATATAATTTTTACCAGTGTGTCCCCCCCCCCCCCTCCCCCCTAAACAAATCTGAAAGAAAACTGGCCATAAAGCTGAAAAATGTATTTTTAAAAGCTTGTTATTATAAAGATTCCAAAGGCTTCCATACATGTGATAATTATTATACATAATTCAATATAAATTGCTCTAAAAAGCACAAACTCCACTCTCCCTGACTTCTTTAAACAAAAAAAAATCACACATTGTATATGTAAACATATAAACTAAATGTGCAGCACAATACAATAATATTGATTTTAAGGAATCATTTTTAGGAAGAAAGTGTATTTATTTTTAGATTAGAAAAATTATAAATAACTTTTATTTGCATAAAAAAGGACAACTCCGTTGGGAATCAATCAATCACAAAGGTCCTGAAATCTATTAAGGGGAGATAATTTAGTGTTGTTTCAAGGGGAGACAAAATAGTGTCAAGTGATTAAGAAATTCATAGCAACGCTAAAGTCAGCTAGATTAATTATTTATTCATATAACAGTACTAGTATTTATGACAATCATTGCTGGTTACAGTACTATTATAGCTCCAGAAATATTATTACATATTTTAAGGGTCTAGACTTGGCCATATACATCGTAACATGTACATGATCAGCATATTTTACATGTTATTTTAGGGGTCATCCATAAATGACGTCACACTCGTAGGGGGAGGGGGGTCCGTAATTTTGTGACGATGTGTGATGAGGGGAGAGGGGGGGGGGGGGTTCAGATGTTGCGGCGTCACATTTTTGCATTATAAATAAACCGGGAGTGATCTCCCCTAAACTTTCTCGAATATTCTTACATAAAATAACAGGGGATGGGAACTCGGGCTATAGACATGATTTTTAATCCATTTTAAATACTTAAAGTTTTTAAAATAGAATAAAATCTCGTAGACAAATTAATTGCACACCAAGTGAACGCCAAATAAAAAAGCGCATAATAGTGCGCAATATTATTAGTACTTTTAAAATTTACATTAGTTTTTTGAGAAATCGGAAGTAGCGTAAATTACTACTTCCGGTCAACGGAAATTACTCAAAATTTAACAGAAGGTAGACAATTAGATGTTTTACTTACATGTGAAATTTCATTTATCTATCTGAAATAGTACTCAAGTTATAGGCTTTTGAAAAATTCAAAGTAGAAAAAGTACCACTTCCGGTTATTGGAAATCGCTCAAAAATTGATACGTATCTACGATTTTGATAAAATACTTATATATGAAATTTCATCAACCTAGCTGTAACGGTACTCAAGTTATCGTGTTTACACACGGATACACACACAGACACACACACAGACATACGGACAGAATTGCAAAGCCCGGTTTTTCAGACTGGATTACGCATAAAACCTCTTAGTTTTGATAAATCTGGATTGATAATTTTTGCCCGATTAAAATAAGTCCTCTAAACTTCGGATGTGATGAAGGACTGAGGTGTAATACGGTGAAAATTGTTAAAATTTTAAGTGATTTTTGTGCACGATTACAATACTTTCTCTATACTTCGTATATACGAGAAAGTAAAAAGCAATGTTAGAAAACGAATTGTAGACGTTATTTCGCATTTTAGATAACTGTTTTAATAAATTGTAATAGTTTAGACAAGATTTTAGAAAAATATCGATGTTTAAAAAAAATTCAACTGCAATGTTTAGGGGGTTGTAGGTTGAGGTGTGACGTCATTTTAGGGGGGGGGGGGTGGGTCTGGCTTTTTGTGACGACGTGTGACGGAGGGGAGGGGGGGGAGGTAAAAATCGTCCAAAAAAGCGTGACGTCATTTATGGATGACCCCTTAAAAATATAGCTTATTTACAGGTAGCGTCAAATTTGTTTCACGGTTTCAGTACTTTTGTGTCTATTTATCGATAATAATATAATAGTGCGGACAACAGCTTGCCGTCTGCTTCCGGCGCAGCAGTGTGTAAGTAAGCCTGTCTCATGTTTCATTCGTCTCTGTCAGCAACAGCACACCGGGGTTTATTTTAAGCCGCGCGCATATTACACACACAAATGTCGTCGTGACGGCAGTTGAAGCGGTTGTTTTGTTCTAGACTGGATACGTTATCGTTTTGTGTTTAATTAAACAACCAAATAATTTTATTTTTAAATAAACACATTTTTAGGTATGAGTAACCGCGATGCCTGAATCGAAAGGTGAAAATTATGGGATATTTCCTCAAACGTTGAAGGTAATCCAAGCTCGAAGATGGGCGTCGTTGTTGATATTGATGGTGTGTCTGTTGTTGGTGTCAGCGGCGTTTCTCCAGTTTTCCCGCTGGCCTGATGTCCAGCAGACGTGGCCCAAACAGCGGCCTGGTCAGAGGACGTCTGCCTGCCCGGGCTGTTTTGTGGCCGAGTTTGACGTCAGCGTTGACATCCCGGCGCTGTGCATGAACAGTGACGTCACGCTGGTCATCGTGATTCATGTCCAGGCGAAAAATTTTGTCGCGAGGTCAGTGATCAGACACACCTGGCTGGCAAGTGTCAGGGACGTGGGAGATAAAGTCAGGTAAGGAAACAGACATACCCCCTCCCCTTTTCATCCCCACCTCACAAGGCAATTCAGGTTAACCCACAGATAGTTCAACCTGCCTCGTCTTCAGATGGTCCCTCCAACCCCTGCCCCCCCCCCCCCCCCTCTCAGTCCATCCTAGTCCACCCACAGACAGTACATCCACCCCACCCCATTTTTCTCGTAGTCCATCCTATTTACTCCCCCCGCCCCCATCTTTCCTATTTTTCATCTAGTCTACCCTACTCCACCCGCACATAAAACATCCCGCCCCCTCCCCCACAGACCAATATTGTCTCCCCTTGCCAAATGAATTCTACAAGTTACACACTTAGATATTTCGCCAACTAATAAATCATTGTCGGATGTTATTGTAGTCTCGTCACGTTGATCCAGATCAGGTGTACTTTTACTGGCGTTCTCATGCTGTCATACAGGGGTCCTCAAGATGTCCTACAGGGGTCCTCAAGCTGTCATACAGGGGTCCTCAAGATGTCATACAGGGGTCCTCAAGATGTCCTACAGGGGTCCTCATGTTGTCCTACAGGGATCCTCATGATGTCATACAGGGGTCCTCATGTTGTCCTACAGGGGTCCTCATGTTGTCCTACAGGGGTCTCAAATTGTCCTTCAGGGGTCCTCATGTTGTCCTTCAGGGGTCCCCATGTTGTCTTACAGGGGTCCTCATGTTGTCTTACAGGGGTCCTCATGTTGTCTTACAGGGGTCCTCATGTTGTCCTACAGGGGTCCTCATGATGTCCTACAGGGTCTCAAATTGTCCTACAGGGGTCCTCATGATGTCCTACAGGGGTCTCAAATTGTTCTTCAGGGGTCCGCATGTTGTCCTACAGGGGTCCTCATTTTGTCCTATAGGGTAACAGGGGTCTCAAACTGTCCTACCATTGGGTCTCAAGTTATCCTATAGAGGTCCTCAGGTTGTCCTATTTAGGTTTGAAGTTGTCTTATTGGAGTCTCAAATTGTTCTAAAGGGGCCCTCTAGTAGTCCTACAGGGGTCGTCAAGTTGTCCTACTTTGGTCTGAAGTTGTCCTAAAGGGGTCCTAAAGTTGTTCTACATGGGTCCTCTAATTGGGTCGCAATTTGTCCTACAGGAGTCCTCAGGTTGTCCTTCAGAGTTTCTCAAGTTAAATGAAAAATCTTGCACGTCAGTAAATTTGTCTGATGTTTTTTTAAATTAAATTAATGTAACCATCAATTCAATGGCATTAAAATTTACAAGTTCAGAGTAAAATGCGCACAAAATAAAGTGCAACGGAAAATTTCCGCACACAGAAAACTGCACACTCGGGTGCCGTGTATGTTTTTGTCCTGGTCCTATGTTTTGTGATGAACTAAGCGTGGTAAATGTAAGCAGTAAAAGTTGTTGATATATTGTTTAGAAAGGTTGAGGACAGCAAATCGTAGTCATTACATCTTCTACCCATTTCACAGTTAGTACTCAATTTTTTTTCTTATGATATTTTTCTGTGAAATATTTCCTACGATTCTTAAAAATATACAATTTGTAATTTAGGATAATGATCTAAGGGATTTAATTAAACTATGCTCTAGTCTACTGTGACATTAATACAACATCTTGTTATAAATCAATGACATACCGGTATATTAATGAAACTATTAATAACCTACTGGTATAATATTTAAACAATAAATCAACTACTTATATATAAATGAAACAGGTAATGACCTGCTAGAATATTAATGAAACAGTTAATGATCTACTAGTACATTAATGAAACAGTTAATGATCTACTGGTATATTAATTAAATAGTTAATGACCTACTGGTACATTAATGACAAAATTAATGACCTACTGGTAAATTAATTAGTATATTAATGAAACAGTTATGACCTACCAATATATTAATGAAATAGTTAATGTCCTACTGTTATATAAATGAAACAATAAATAATTTACTGGTACTTTAGTGCAACAATTAATGACCTGCTGGTACATCAATGAAACAATTAATGACCTGCTGGTACATCAATGAAACAATTAATGACCTGCTGGTACATCAATGAAACAATTAATGACCTGCTGGTACATCAATGAAACAATTAATGACCTACCGGTACAATAATGAAACAACTAATGACCTACTGGAACATTAATGAAACAACTAATTATCTACTGGTATATTAATGAAACAATTAATGACCTACTGGTATATTAATGAAACAACTAATTACCTACTGGTATATTAATGAAACAATTAATGACCTACTGGTACATTAATGAATCAATTAATGACCTACTGGTATATTAATGAAACAACTAATTACCTACTGGTATATTAATGAAACAATTAATGACCTACTGGTATATTAATGAAACAATTAATGACCTACTGGTACATTAATGAATCAATTAATGACCTACTGGTATATTAATGAAACAACTAATTACCTACTGGTATATTAATGAAACAATTAATGACCTACTGGTACATTAATGACACGTCGACTCCTCTAAGGTATTTCTTCCTCCTCGGCCAGCCAGAGAACGATGACGTCAGACAGGATGTCCTCAACGAGTCAGAGCTGCACAAGGACATTGTCCTGTATGAGTTTGTCGACTCCTACAGAAACCTGACGCTCAAAACTGTCTTGGCCATGCAGTGGATTACCAGTCGTTGTCCTAATGCGAGGTGAGGTGTTGGGGGACTTTGTCCTGACGTGTGGTGTTGGAGGGACTTTGTCCTAACGTGTGGTGTTGGGGGACTTTGTCCTAACGTGTGGTGTTGGAGGACTTTGTCCTAACGTGTGGTGTTGGGGGACTTTGTCCTGACGTGAGATGTTGGAGGACTTTGTCCTGACGTGCTAACGTGTGGTGTTGGGGGACTTTGTCCTAACGTGTGGTGTTGGAGGACTTTGTCCTGACGTGTGGTTTTGGAGGACTTTGTCCTGACGTGTGGTTTTGGAGGACTTTGTCCTGACGTGTGGTGTTGGGGGACTTTGTCCTGACGTGTGGTGTTGGGGGACTTTGTCCTGACGTGTGGTGTTGGGGGACTTTGTCCTGACGTGTGGTGTTGGGGGACTTTGTCCTGACGTGTGGTGTTGGGGGACTTTGTCCTAACGTGTGGTTTTGGGGGACTTTGTCCTGACGTGCTAACGTGTGGTGTTGGGGGACTTTGTCCTAACGTGTGGTGTTGGAGGACTTTGTCCTGACGTGTGGTTTTGGAGGACTTTGTCCTGACGTGTGGTGTTGGGGGACTTTGTCCTAACGTGTGGTGTTGGAGGACTTTGTCCTAACGTGTGGTGTTTGGGGACTTTGTCCTAACGAGTGGTGTTGGAGGACATTTCAGCTGGTCGCTTTTTAGTTGATGACATGGGTAGGCTTGGTTTCAGAGCGACTAAACTATCTGAGTGCTACTAACTGACCAGAGCCGCTGCCTAAACTAACTAAACTCATGCTACTACTCCATAACAGTACACGTTGCCCTTACCCTAACTTGAGCTACCACCTTAAAACACACTTATACTTAACGTTTTATTCTACCCTATCTCTGTGTCAACATCCTAACCACAGTCTTAAATAGAGTCATTAACTAGAGCCACTAACAAGTACCACTACCGCAACAAGAGCCACTAACAAGAGCCACTAACTAAGAAGATCCACTAACAAAAGCCACTTACTTAACCAGATCTACTACCTTAACCAGACCCACTAACCAGAGCCACTAACCAGACCCACTAACCAGAGCCACTACCTTAACCAGAGCCACTAACCAGACCGACTATCCAGAGCCACTAACCAGAGCCACTAACCAGAGCCACTAACTAGAGCCACTAACCAGAGCCACTAACCAGAGCCACTAACCAGAGCCACTAACCAGAGCCACTAACCAGAGCCACTAACCAGAGCCACTAACCAGAGCCACTAACCAGAGCCACTAACCAGAGCCACTAACCAGACCCACTAACCAGAGCCACTAACCAGACCCACTAACCAGAGCCACTAACCAGACCCACTAACCAGAGCCACTAACCAGACCCACTACCTTAACCAGAGCCACTAACCAGAGCCACTAACCAGAGCCACTAACCAGAGCCACTAACCAGAGCCACTAACCAGACCCACTAACCAGACCCACTAACCAGAGCCACTAACCAGAGCCACTAACCAGAGCCACTACCTTAACCAGACCCACTAACCAGAGCCACTAACCAGACCCACTAACCAGAGCCACTAACCAGAGCCACTAACCAGAGCCACTAACCAGAGCCACTACCTTAACCAGACCCACTAACCAGACCCACTAACCAGAGCCACTAACCAGAGCCACTAACCAGAGCCACTGTCTATCCCGAGCCACTTACCATCCAATGCAATTTCCCAGGTATTTTTTTAAAACAGACGACGACGTATGGGTAAACTTGACCAACCTGCTGACCGCTATCAACAGCAACAAGAAAGTTCTGGAATATTCTCTCGGTGGCGTCTGCAGGTGAGAGAGAAACGTAGGCTACATTACTTCTACATACAGCAGGTGTCACTGTCTTAAAACCTTTGTGGGCAGTGGCGTAGCCAGGATCGTCTCAAGGGGGGGGTTCCAATTTTTACCCGGGGACAAACTTTCGATTTGCACCCCCCCTCAAACTTTCGATTTGCACCCCCCCCCTCAAACTTTCGATTTGCACCCCCCCCCCCTCAAACTTTCGATTTGCACCCCCCCCCCCTCAAACTTTCGATTTGCACCCCCCCTCAAACTTTCGATTTGCACCCCCCCTCAAACTTTCGATTTCCACCCCCCCCCCCCCTCTCAAACTTTCTATTTGTACCCCCCCCCCCTCATACTTTTTATATATACCGAGGGGTCTATGGGGGGGGGGGTTATGACCCCCCCTAACCCCCCCCCCCTGCCTACGCCACTGTTTGTGGGCGTCTTAAAACCTTTGTGAGCGTCTTAAAACCTTAGCGGGCGTCTTAAAACCTTTGTGGGCGTCTTAAAACCTTTGTGGGCGTCTTAAAACCTTGTATGGCTGTCTTAAAACTTTGTATGGCTGTCTTAAAACTTTGTATGGCTGTCTTAAAACCATGTTTAGCTGTCTTAAAACCATGTATGGCTGTCTCACAATCTCATATAATCAAATTAATGTTCTATCAGGAATCTCTTTGGTGAGTTGGGTGGCGGCATTTCCCCCCCCCCCCCCCCCCCCAGCGAAATTTTAAAAAATGTTATCTATATAGAAAAAATTATTACTGTAACCGGTTTCAAGTGCCTCCCCCCCCCCCCCCCCGAGAAAAATGTCTGAAAGAAATACGGCGTATAGCTATGTTAAAGCCTTGTATCAAACGAAAGAAACACGGCGTATAGCATGTTAAAGCCTTGTATCAAACGAAAGAAACACGGCGTATAGCATGTTAAAGCCTTGTATCTAACCATCTCATTCCCTGCCAGGTCAGTGCCAGTAGTCAGAGACACGTCATCCAAATGGCACGCGACCAAGGCGGAGTTCCCCAAGGACGTGTACGACCCATACTGCTCGGGGACGGGCTATGTGGGTGGGGCTGCTGTAGCCCAGGGCGTGGCACATGTCTACACACAGGTAACTTTGCTGTCACTATGTCACATTGGTGTCACATTGGTGTTAAAATGGTGTAACTGTATTGTCACAGTTTTGTCACTCAGTAGTTATTCTGTTGTCACAATGTTGTCACAATGGTCTCATAATTTTGTCACTGTAGTCTCACTGTTTTATCACTCTGTTGTCACGATCTTGTCACAATAGTGTTATTCTGTTGTCACAATGGTGTCCCAATAATTATTATGTCACTCTATTGTCAACATTTTTTCAAATTATTGTCCCAATTTTGTCCCTATGATTGTATTCTGTTATCACGGTTTTGTTAATATACATTTTCCGTATGCTGCCACTGTTCTATACACTCACAGCTGAGCTATCAGTGTGCTAAGAAACTAACATAGTTGCCCTAAGGACACGGAAAACTACAAAACCATTCTAACACAGCTGTTAACGTTACATTGCATTCAATACACACTCCAAACACGAACAAAACAAAACAAAAATGCAATCCACTTCATAAGACGGCCTACGTTTTGCTGACATTAATTCAAGCTTTACAATGGGTAGAAAATGGAAGCAGGCAAGTACAAATATCACAAGCGCTGGTGTGCTGGTGTAAAAAAAGTTTGTTATGAACAGAATTGTGCAGATCGTGTTAGGGTCGAATCAAAATTTAAGGCTTTACTTTACAAAACAATTCCAAGAGTTTCGTTTTGAATTCTTTGTGTAGAAGAGTAAGTTAGTGATAGTGCCCATTTTACATGACACGCAAATGGTAGTTGATGGTGGTTATTTGTGGTGTGTTATATGGGGCAGATGATGGTAGTTTATTATGTGTGTGGTGGTTTTATATATCAATCTTATAAATAAGACACTGACTTTTCTATTTTATGACCTACTTCCGCCAAGACGAAAGAAAGAATGTTGTGAACTGTGAACGTTGTGAGTTTTATCACACCAACTTATGGTGTGATTAAGTGTCAGGGGGATAGTACAGGCGTTAGGGGATCCTAATTATCTATATCTATGTATAAGTGAACGTATGTTTATATTTCTGTCTTTTATTCATTTCTACACCTTATTATTATGAAAAATATGAAAAATGGGCAAATACCCATGTGACAGGTGAAGTAGAGTTTGCATGTGCATAAGGGAGGGAATCAATCTCTGTTTCGCTGCTATTCTATTTTATCTAGTTATTCCCCCCGAAAAGGTATTTAAAGAACGGAAATGTGGTCAGATTCATTTTTAGCTCTACCCACTTTATCTTCTTCTTCTTCTTTCTTAATTTTGGTGTTGAAAGGGATCCCCTAAAACACAATTAAGTATAGGCCTACGTGTCGACTGGTTATGCGCCATATAGGCTGTTGACTCCGATTTCAGCCTGCTTTTCTTTTTGGATTTGTTTAAATAGTTTTTGTCCAACCTAGAACAAACTACAAGGCAGCAGTTGTTTGATTTTGGAGTTGTCTCTCATAGAAGAGAGACATACTAGCTTTTCGAGTATTGAAGCGTTTGTAATCGATGCATTTAATTTTAAAAATTCATAATATTTTTATGTAAATCTTACTAAAGAGATATTTTTAAATATGAATTTTAACATTCTCCAAAATATTGCAAGATTTAATTAAATGTCTTAAGATTTGAACACATATTTTAAAATACGTTAGCTAATTTGCAGAAATTAATTTAACTTTTAGATACGTAAACTGCAAGTGTTATCAATTAATGGGAATTCCACCATAATTAAATTAGTAAAGTAAGTAAAGTTTCCCTTTCAAACCTGACGGTCAATGGGGCAAGTGAAGTAGAGTTCACTTGTTTCTGTGACCTCGGCATATGAAGAGATAGTGTGGTCAGCACTATGCCCAGCCGCCTTTACTTTCCCTAACGTGAGTTAGGTACCCATCAGAGTTGGGTGGACTCAGGGACGGTCTACTAACATGAACCCGGATTCGAACTCGAGACTAACGGGTTAGCAGTCCAGCTCTCTACCGCTAGACCACTCCGTCCCACCATAATTAAATTAAATTAACATTAATGTATGATGCCGCACCTTTGACTAGTTCAATCAGACTAAAATTTAATCACCTCACCCAGCCATCCCGTTTCCTATTACAATCAAGTTATCAAAGTCCCGACATTATTAAACTGTACTCAACCAATTCTTTGTTTTCCGGTATAGGAACTAACTTGCATTAGAAATGCTTTAATGTTATTTGATTTTAGAGTGCTACAATCATTTATTTGTGCTTCCGCTTACATCCACCAATAGCAGAATACGTCGTGTGGTAAACAATCTAAATATAGTTTGCTTTGGTTTCATTGAATTTTTAGATGCAATGCAGAGGCGTAGCAAAGGCGGGGGGGGGGGGGGGGGGGAGGGAAGGGGAGTTGGGTACATATGTCCCCGGGCGCCAACCCAAAGTAGCGCCAAATTGGGTAGGAAAATAATTAAAAGCTCATTTTAGCTGCAGTTTTGAATTATAAACATAAAAAATAAATGGGGGGGGGGGGGGGGGGCGGCGCTTAATTGAAAGTTTGTCCCCGGGCGCCGGGAGGGTTTGTTACGCCTCTGATGTATTGCTAATGTTACTAGAGATGTTTCTTTTCAAATGACTGCTATGTGACTTTTCGTTTATATAATATATATATATATATATATATATATATATATATATATATATATATATATATATATACATACATATATATATATATATATATATATATATACATACATATATATATATATATGTATATATATATATATATATATATATATATATATATATATATATATATATATATATATATATATATATATATATATATATATATATATATATATATATATATATATATATATATATAAATTATACACTCTTTTATTAAAGAGTTTGTGAATAAAGTAATTTAAATAGAGTGGCGTAGCGAGGGTCGGGTTTTCACCCGGTGCGGCACTTAATGGTGTTCACCCCCCCCGAAAGGCGTAGCGACCCTTCCCCGGGGACAAATTTTCGATTTGCACCCCCCCCTCAAGTTTTCGATTTGCACCCACCTCCCCCCCCCCCCCCCCCCCCCCTCAAACTTACCATTTGCACCCCCTCAAGTTTTTCTCTATATATTTTTGCTATTTTTTTGCCTTGGTGTCACCCCCCTAAATGGTGTCACCCGGTGCGGTCCGCACCCCCCCCCCCCCTCGCTACGCCTCTGATTTAATATAAACTCTTTAAGATCCTGTATGATATTTATAATATTCCCTATCAGGCCTAACCTTTGAACCTACAAAAAAGGACAGTTTAGTCTCTGCTAAAAGCTATACTTACAAGCCATGACATAACTTGTACCACGTGATGACCACCTGCTCCTGATTTAGAAGCTGTTTTCTGGTTAAAGACGGTAGCTTAGAAACGTTACACATTTAATTCTGTTACTAGGTGCCCAACCAGTGCTGAGCTTTATTTTCTTGATGAGTTTTTACTCAAAACATTTGAATCCTCTGTCGTCCTATAGGGGAAAAAAACGATTCATCGTTAGGCTTAGATATCGATTGGGCAGATGAAGTAGAGTATATATGAAGAAATGGTGTGAGGTCGTCCGTAAATGTTGTCAAACTCAGGTTGGGGGTCGGACTTATGTGACGATGTGTGACAATGGGGAATTCTTAAAACTGTAACGTCACACTTTTTAAAAAGTTTTATTTTTTACAGAAATATACTCTGCTTTTTTAAAAAGACAATTTCTGTTTAAAAAGCATGATTATCTTGGCCCGGTTTTGTCAGGATTTGCTAAAATTTTCAATATTAAATAGTAATAATTAGTGATGTGGGAAATGTTATTTCCCTTTACAAAAGATAGACAACTCATTTAACATTCTAAATAGACAATCTTTTTTTTTTTAAGTGTGACATCCCTTTAAAACGGAAGGCATTCATCGATGACCTCTCGATGACCTTACTAAATACCACAGTGTTGCTGACCTATTTTGACCGTATTTGATTTCAGGTTCCGTACTTCCACCTCGAAGATGTGTTTGTTGGGATGTGCCTGAAGGTGTTAGGCTACTCCACCACTCGTCTGCTTCATTTTGACAACACGCAGGGGGCCTTCGCTCGACGCATGCGCAGTCAAACAGAACGGCTTACGTCACAGTTCATAAAATCCCCCACCAAGAAAATGATAGAAATTTACAGAAAAGACTGTTCAAAATAAAACTAACACCAGTGATGTTATTCGAACATTTACCAGAAAGAGATTTCACAAGCAAGAGCTCGAACATTGTGTTTCAATAAAGGAAGTCACAATTGCCAGGACATATTTAGATAATTAGATATTTAGATAATTAGTAAGCTACTGATATTGCCAATTAGCAAACTACTAAACCACCCGCCCATCTGATCTTGTCTTTCAGAAGCCTAAATAGTTGGACTTGATGTTTAAATCATCCAGCATAAAATTTAAATTAAGAACGCAGAAGAAGAAGCGTAAATGTATATTGACATAGAACTAGACTATTTATACAACTGTTTATGTTACTTTACTCTCTACCTGTCGTCGGTCATGGTAAAAAAGGACAGTTTGGATAATATTGCAACTTGATAACAAATTTAACGTAATTAGATCTTTATTTAATTTAGACTAATTAAAGAAAACTATAGGCTTGAAAAGCACTAAAAGGGTTGCGTTTTTACACACAGAGCATTTAATTTAATAATTATATATATATATATATATATATATACATATATATATATATATATATATATATATATATATATATATATATATATATATATATATATATATATATATATCTGAAACGTTGTCTCAGAAGTCAGATTATCCCTCCTTCTATAGGTGTGACCTTATTTATGGAAGTGATATCTACACATTCTACATTTTAGCGACCAATACGTTCATTGAAACAGGCGAATTAGTTGTTTTTTTTTAAATTATCAGAGCATTTAAAATCTTATTGTTATAAGTGCTTTCAATTTCTGTTTTTATTAATCTTACTCTTATTTTTATTTAAGAGGCTAAGGAAATTAAATTTTAATTTTAAAAAAGATTTTGTAACGTTTGTAGAATACCATCAGTCAGACATAATCACGGAAATAATGGTGTAGACACGTGTTGAAGATAGGAGGAGAGGCGATCGCAGAAAAAAAGCATCATTGTATTCTTGTTTGTGCACTTGCGTGAGTGCGTGCGTGCGTGGGTGCACACCGTGTTCAGACTACATTAACGATAGGTTTATAGACAACTAACTTAGTGAATTAGATTTAGATTGCGATTCCCAGAATCATTTTTAGTACCGTTTACAACTATCATGAATCAATTCTTCTTTATAAAAAAAAAAAAACTCTGATTTATTTCAATGAATTTCTTAATTTAAGTCTTAAGTGCGCTATGGCTAATCAGTTTTAATCTGCAATACAAGTTAGTAAACTATTTTTGATATTACACGACTGCTATCGGTGGGAAAAAAAATCGTGAACCTGGACAGCATCAAACTAGCCATGTGGTCAGTTGAAGAAGACAGAAAACACGGACGCTTTCTGTAAACATCATCATCATAACGGGAATACCCGCTGCTATGTTTAACTATAATCAGCGGAAACGAAAGGACGCCATGTTGCCGTGGAAATGGGAAGAAAGATAACTGTAAAATATTTGTTCTCCTTAATTTAATTACTGGTGAAATGCCCTTGTTTGTGTGCTTCGTATTTTAAAAATAGATGAAATGTGTCAAACTATAAAGTTGTACTGTGTGTTGCATGGGTGAACAAGGCCAATAGGTTTCTGGTGTTGTTCTAACCTTTTTCTGACGACATATTTTCTTGATGGCATGTTTCTCTGATGACATGTTTTTCTGATGACATGTTTTTCTGATGACATGTTTTCTGATGACATATTTTCTGATGACATGTTTTTCTGATGACATGTTTTTCTGATGAGAGGACTGATTCCGGCCTGACCGCGAGGTTAAGACTACTAAGATGAGGCTCCACAAAAAAAGAGGTTCTTTAGTGAGAGATATTCCAAAGTGGGTGATGTTCGATAGTGGGTGATATTCGATGGTGGGTGATGTTCGACGATGGGCGATGTTCGACAGTGGGTGATGTTCGACGGTGGGTGATGTTCGACAGTGTGTGATGTTCGACAGTAAGTGATGTTCGATAGTGGGTGATGTTCGATAGTGGGTGCTCTTGCGTGGATTAAATCTGTGTGGTACGTCTCTCTCGTTGTCTAAAGTAAGTCGTATCTGTTATTGTCTGAAGTAAGACGTCTCTAAAGTAAGACGTCTCCGTCCTTGTCTAAAGTAGGATGTCTCTTCCACTGCCCAATATAGGACCAATTAGGACGTTACTTTGTTAATCCCTATGTAAGACTGGGTGGGAGTGAAGACTTCACTATATTTCCTAAAGTAAAGTCTTGTTGCCGGGGTATTGTTCTAACCGGCAATTAGAAGTTTGTAATGTACACGCTACATGGTTTCAAAGTTTAAAAAAAAGAACACTACTGCGCAGTAACTTATTTAAAATGTATAAATCGTCTATTGTTTTGTTACACTTTAGTGTTAAAGCCTTAGGGGTGGGTGTTAATCGCATCACGGCTGCAGGAAACACGCACACAGAGCAGCAACAAATACACACACACAGCAACTACAAACACACATCAACAACAACAAATGCACATACAACAACAAACACACACACACAACAACAACAAACCGGTGCATCTCTTCACTGCCCCCCTCCCCGAACGAAATATAATTTATATAGAAAATGGATACTTTTACCAGTGCCCCCCCCCCCCCCCCCCGAAATATTCAAGTGCCCATCCGGAAAAAAGCCTGAGAGAAACACTGCAACAAACACACACACACACAGCAATAACAAACACACAAAACAACAACACACACACAGCAGTCCAACACATACACGAAGCACACAAAGCAACAACATACTCACAGCAACAACAAACACACACACACAGCAACCAACACACACACAAAGAAGCAACGAAACAAAGCCAGATACAGACAAAACATGTCACGATCCAAAGTCAAGGCCACCAAAAAAACGTGTTTTATTTCAGCCAAAACTTAGAAACACAACACCTAGTCAGGTGACCTTGCAAATAATGCATGTTAATTTATGTTCATCCATGTCCCAGTCTACTTTCTGGTTTGGTGTCATATGTCATCAGTCACATGGATCAATGCACACTGACATGTGAGATGACTGCAGGGCAGTTGACTGGATTAGACATCCTTGAATACACCCCACCTCCCTCTATGTCACATCAACTACACTGTAAAATATAAAAGCAGCCGTTTATTACCGTTTCACATATTTATTATTACATCTGATTTTTTTAGTAAATATTTGTCTTCTTTAATCATTGTTCTAGGTCATGATCCAGAGTTTGAGGTGTGGTGTAGATTTAAATTAAATTATGGGCACGCACGTCTAAATGTATGTACATTTCTGTTTTGAAAAAAAAATATATTTATGTCAAATGTTTTTCTCGGTGTGATCGAAAAATCGTACAATGAAATGTAACGCCACACGATTTTGATGCAGAACAGGGGGGAGAGGGGGGAAGGGGCAGTAGAGTTAAGGGGGGGGGGACAGGACATAGTAGGGGAGGACATAGTAGGGGAGGACAGAGTAGGAGAGTAGGGGAGGACAGAGTAGGGGAGGACAGAGTAGGAGAGTAGGGGAGGACAGAGTAGGGGAGGACAGAGTAGGGGAGGACAGAGTAGGAGAGTAGGGGAGGACAGAGTAGAGGAGGACAGAGTAGGAGAGTAGGGGAGGACAGAGTAGGGGAGGACAGAGTAGGAGAGTAGGGGAGGACAGAGTAGGGGAGGACAGAGTAGGGGAGGACAGAGTAGGAGAGTAGGGGAGGACAGAGTAGGGGAGGACAGAGTAGGGGAGGACAGAGTAGGGGAGGACAGAGTAGGAGAGTAGGGGAGGACAGAGTATGGGAGGACATAGTAGGGGAGGACATAGTAGGGGAGGACAGAGTAGGAGAGTAGGGGAGGACAGAGTAGGAGAGTAAAGGAGGACAGAGTAGGGGAGGACAGAGTAGGGGAGGACATAATAGGGGAGGACAGAGTAGGAGAGTAGGGGAGGACAGAGTAGGGGAGGACAGAGTAGGGGAGGACATAGTAGGGGAGGACAGAGTAGGGGAGGACATAGTAGGGGAGGACAGAGTAGGGGAGGACAGAGTAGAGGAGGACAGAGTAGGGGAGGACAGAGTAGGGGAGGACAGAGTAGGGGAGGACAGAGTAGGAGAGTAGGGGAGGACAGAGTAGGGGAGGACAGGAGTAGGGGAGGACAGAGTAGGGGAGGACAGAGTAGGAGAGTAGGGGAGGACAGAGTAGGGGAGGACAGAGTAGGGGAGGACAAAGTAGGGGAGGACATAGTAGGGGAGGACAGAGTAGGAGAGTAGGGGAGGACAGAGTAGGGGAGGACAGGAGTAGGGGAGGACAGAGTAGGGGAGGGCAGAGTAGGAGAGTAGGGGAGGACAGAGTAGGGGAGGACAGAGTAGGAGAGTAGGGGAGGACAGAGTAGGGGAGGACGGAGTAGGGGAGGACAGAGTAGGGGAGGACAGAGTAGGGGAGGACAGAGTAGGGGAGGACAGAGTAGGGGAGGACAGAGTAGGAGAGTAGGGGAGGACAGAGTAGGGGAGGACAGAGTAGGGGAGGACATAGTAAGGGAGGACAGAGTAGGAGAGGACAGAGTAGGAGAGTAGGGGAGGACAGAGTAGGGGAGGACAGAGTAGGGGAGGACAGAGTAGGGGAGGACAGAATAGGGGAGGACATAGTAGGGGAGGACATAGTAGGGGAGGACAGGGTAGGAGAGTAGGGGAGGACAGAGTAGGGGAGTAGGAGAGGACAGAGTAGGAGAGTAGGGGAGGACAGAGTAGGGGAGGACAGAGTAGGGGAGGACATAGTAAGGGAGGACAGAGTAGGAGAGGACAGAGTAGGAGAGTAGGGGAGGACAGAGTAGGGGAGGACAGAGTAGGGGAGGACAGAGTAGGGGAGGACAGAATAGGAGAGTAGGGGAGGACAGAGTAGGGGAGGACATAGTAGGGGAGGACATAGTAGGGGAGGACAGAGTAGGAGAGTAGGGGAGGACAGAGTAGGGGAGGACAGGAGTAGGGGAGGACAGAGTAGGGGAGGACAGAGTAGGAGAGTAGGGGAGGACAGAGTAGGGGAGTAGGAGAGGACAGAGTAGGAGAGTAGGGGAGGACAGAGTAGGGGAGGACAGAGTAGGAGAGTAGGGGAGGACAGAGTAGGGGAG